TTTTTTTTTAATTTTTGTATTTGATATTTATAGCTATTTAATAACGTTATGCTTGTAAAAATGCTGTGAGCATTATGAATGCTGTACATGAATGGATTAAGTGAGCAAGCAAAAAATTAAGGGCGCGATTCCTTCGTTGTGTGCGCGCTTTGTGTATCAAAGAGTATTTAGCTATAACCATAACAATTTGTTATTTAGAATTGTATAATAGCTAAGTTATGTGATTTAATTTCTTTTATAATTTTGATTTATTATGATCAATATAGTTATGTAAGTCGCAGACCTATTATTGTAATACCCGAAATCGATGGTTAAGTTGTAAGATACATAATATATCTAATTAACGCTAAATGTAACACTTAACTTACAATAAATATATTGAATTACGTGGTAGAGCCACGCTGCAACTATATTGTAGTAGCAGCACGAATGAGTCGGCTCGACCGGGGTAGGACCACGCTCTCACAGAATACCAAGGTAAAATAGCAGCTTAATGCTGCTGTGTTTCGTATGGTGAGTGTGGGAAACCGGAGACCTTTTATACTGGAAAAAAGGGATTCCATCTCAGTCCTCAGGTATGACAACGCATCTGCATTTTCATTCTTAGTTGAGGATAAATGTAGATGTCTATGGGCTACAGCATCAACTTACCATTAGATGGACTGTATGCTCGTTTGTCAACCTTGTTCCAATATTGTGACTGATAATTAAACTATTAATAGCTTATGTACCTACATCTAAAAGCTAGGCTAATATTGTTTCATGAAGACTGCTATATAGCTAGTTTTGTTGTAAAATGAAAGTACTTACTATAACTAAGATTAAAACCAAAAGTCGTAAGTATGTGATACTATATAAACCTTTTTATATAGTATCACATACCAACATAATAGGTTTGGCAATTATAATTATCCCAACTTACCAAAGAGTTAGATAGAAAAACAAATTTATAAAAAGTAATTTGTAGCAAATTATTTACTCTGTTTCGTACTGCTAACTCGATTTGCGTGTTTTTTTCGATTTGTGAATTTCAACTCGAGTTAACTCGAGTCGTAATTTTTCCGAGTTGGCACATCTATAACTTCGAGCGCATAGTCCCCCGAATTGAAGGGGTGGCAGGTGCTACGTATAGACTGCTGCGCAATATAGGAGGACCAAGGGAAGAATTGCGTCGCCTCTATGCAGGAGTGATACAGTTCGTAATTTTGTACGGGGCGACAATGGGCGAAAAGTCCGACCGTCAGGCGCTATAGAATTAAAATCTACAATGTGCAGCGGAGGGTGGCCATACGGATCGTGCGAGGATACCGCATGATATCCTTTGAGGCGGCGACAGTCCTGGCTCGCTTTCCACCTCTGGATATACTGGCGGACATGGATGCGAGCGTTTACGACCGTATGCATGTCTTTCGAAGGAGTAAAGCGGCAGGAGTGACTTAACGCATTCGCAACGTGGCACGCTCGCTGCTCTGCGTTATGCGCGCAAACTCGTTGTCGAAGCAACCCTGCCGCACTTTGAAGCCTGGATACATCGACAAACAGGAAAACTCACTAACAGACTTACACAGATAATGGACCGGGCAGGGGTACTTTGTTGTTTATTTGTGTAAGATCAGACGCGAAGCAATGACAAACTGCTTCGACTGCGGTGGTCAGGACCAGGACTCCACCACCTATACGGGAGCGGACGGTCCTGGTAAGCTGGATTGGTCAGAACCTCTCCCTGCCAGCAGTCGTGTCGGTGATGCTGAGCAGGTCACTCAGCTTGGAGGGCCGTAGCCGCCTTCTGTGAATCCATTATGGCGCAAAAAGAGGCTGCTGAGCTGGGTCGGGAGAGGACAGATCCCGCTCGGAGATGACGTCACGAAGGCGTTCGTCACAACCCTCATCTTGAGGATGGTGTTCCCCTACAGAAACAGCGCCTCTGGGGTTACGGGCGCTCGGAGCGGGGCACCGAGCACTGTGTTAGCACTGCGAGGGTGCTTGGGCAGAAAGGACTGCCCCCGGGTGCTTTAATGAAGCGAAGCGAGAGAGAGGCCTCGGTTGCGTTCAGAACGAAGATCCCGGGACCCCTCATATACGGTGACGGTGGCCGCCGTGGGGTTTTATCTCGCTCTGTTGCACCCACAGCCAAAGGTATCCATGAGGATTTCCCCACGATAAAAAAGGAAAAGCTTGCGGTGTTTACTTATTATTAAATGTTGTGCACTTAGATTATATTGCTGTCTTAGAATTAAGCATAAGTATTAGTGTAACATTTGTTGGTGAACCAAATAAATAAATAATATATGACCGCCAGACGCGCTGTCGATATTTAATCCGCCTCTGGGTGACGACCTAGTAAGACATGCAGGAAGTCGATGGATACAGGTGGCTCAGGACCGTGCTCTGTGGGATTCCTTGGAGGAGGCCTATATTCAGCAGTGGACTTGTGAAGACTATAATGAATGAATGAATTAATTAATTAATGAGGATACAGTAGCACCAGAGTAACCGACATAGCCCAACGAATCAGCAAGCTGAAGTAGCAATGTGTAGGCAATAGGTAGCTCGAAGAATTGACAAGCGAAATGGCGAACGACGAAATTGGGGAAGCAAGATTCTCAAGGAGCTGCCTAGTGCAGTACCGGTAGCGAACGAACTGTAGAGCGGCCATCCACTAGATGAATTTGATTTTGATATAAGCCTTGATTTTGAATTTGATATAAGCCTTGGGTTATAATAATATGTAATTAGTATCCTAAAAATATACGTACAACTAGGCTTTATGGGCAGAAATCGCTTCCTTTGCTTACAAATATAAATCATAAACTATTACTGCTTCAACATAGACAACCAATGACCTAAAAGATGGAGAGTACATGAAGTAAATAATCCTTTTAGGGTGCCAAAAAAGAAAGAAAATAATATGGCGTAGGCTCCGCCCATTATCTTACCCATCTTTCTAGACGTCATACTCGGCATTAAGTATAAATAGCCCAAAGATATTTAAATATAGGTTTGAAAAAGCCTGTTGTAGCGCAATTTGTCTGTATAGTGCCACCAACTTATCTGTGAACTGACAGCTTGGCGCTTCTGCGCTGAAGTGTTGCCAGTTCGGGAATATTCCCATCTAAGGGTCTTATATTCCTACATAGAGTCCACATACTAGGGTAATAAATTAGTCACGGAATAAAAAGACTAGAACACAGATTTAACAGATATATGTCCAAGAACAAGAAGAAACAAATATATCATAATTGAACAATTTAAACTTTAATTAAATAATATGCCTTTATGCCTTTTTTACCGGGCGTTGTAATTTGCGTTCCTGTGGTTTATGCGGTTTCCGGTTCTATAACTATTTTGGAAATGAATCCTTGACTAACATCTGAAAAAGAAATGAATTGCATTAACCAATCCCTTTATCGGAAATATGAAAGTAAGGAAATCAGTATTGCTATGTTTTGTTCCTTTTTGTAGCAGCTGATACCTGCTACTCTTTTATAGACCTGATTGAAAGACATTATCGGTGCTTACCCTCGAGCTTCTTGCTCACAAAAGTTTAATACTTATAAAATAATGTTGCAGGCATCACTTTTAATGGTTTTCGGCATGTTTTATTTTTCTATAAACTCTCAAAACAATGACGTATCGAGTGACATTTGATTAAATGGCGGCTGTAGTTCACAATTTTGCCGCAGCTAGCAGTTCACAGATAAGTTGGTGGGACTATATAAGACATCTGTCATCAAATTTAGCTACAATTTAGGGAATTATGTATTGCTCAGAGAACGGTCCAAAGAGTTGCAAAATAAATGCTATCAGTTATACATCAGTAAGGTTGAAGACTCAATAGTTAACAATCCCCGCTTGTTTTCGGCTAACACAAAGTCATTAAAGAGGTCCTCACGCGGTCTACCATTTGTGATGAAATATAAGGATAAATCTGGAGATACTGGTGAATCTGAATATTGTGTATCCACTATCTTTATTCCTAACGTGTAACCTGCAGCTGAACCTTGACGATCAATACCAAAATAGTTGTAGTATAAGTGACATATGATGTAATTCCAGCAACGAGGTGTAGAAGATATCACTTTTTACCCCTAGACAGAAGATGGCAAATATCAGATATTATGTGTCTGTTAAAAATCGTTAGTGGTTTCATAGACTGCCCTCCCTTATTAGAGCAAGTTAACATCTGGGTAACACGCAAATTACCTATAATACGTACCCAATCTCTAGCAATGTCCAGAGCTAACACTAATTATTGTCGCAACTCTTTCTTTATTCGTACTTTTTCAATAATCTGTCATTAGATAACAACAGCTTGGAATTATTTCAGACTAAAGCTTCAAATATTAACAAGCTGTTTACTTCAGAGTTTTTCGACCCTACTCTATGTGTGCCACAAATTGTATTTTTCAATTGATCGATTTACACATACAGTGGTGCGTTGTCAAACTTATATGAAATATCTCTTTTACTCGTAGTTAGGCTACGTGAAATAAACAAAAACGCATGACCACAAGTTAGATACACGGTTATGAAAATGGTAACATCGTATGACTACGTCCATTATGATAATTACTTTGTCAAACAGGCAATTACAGGCAAATGTCTTAGAACTTCCAGCCTATCTGACGTGTATTTTATTATGATGTGTCACATTGCAAACCTTTACAAGGTTATGATGATAGCTTAACCCAGCAGATAGTTAATATCTAAATCCACTTCAAGCAATTATTCAAGCGACAATACAAGAGTAGCGACTCGCCAACAAAAACAAATTCGGATGTTGTAGAAACGTCGTCGCCACTCTGTATTTCTTCATCTATAAACTAAGGGAAAAATAACAACGAACACACAGCCATTGCGATATATGAATTTTTCTCTTTATTATTTTACTTAAAATGTTCATTCGTGATCCGTGCTCTGATAATTAACTTTACAATTATAATAGTTACTCCAATTAGACCTTTACATTTATGATATAAGATTCATATTGCAATTAACGTCTAAATGAGTACGTAGGTGGGCACAGTTTCCACACCGCAGTTGTTGTCTAGGGAGGACATGAGCACGTATCCATTGTCGCCCCACAGGTTTGACCAGGAGTTCTTGATGAGCCAGTATTTCAGTCCGTTGAGGGTGCCGTACCCTACCGCTAAGACTGCGTGGTCCAAGTCCTCTATTCTGTTTTTGCTGGAGAAAAAAAAGTAAATTAGTACACAAGTTATGCGCAGTATAGTATCTTATCTGTGACTTTGTAAAATGCACTAACCCCATACCAAAGTACAAAATTTAATAATAAAAAAATCCCAAATGGATGAAACTATTGACATGGAATTTTCACAGATAATAAAATATTATCGTTGTTTGCTGCATAATATAATCCAATACTCGTGGCAGAGCCATGCTGAAGCTCTATTATATTTGTAGCACAAATGGGTCGGCTCGAATTACCACACCCTAACAGAATACCAGCGTACAAAAGCAGCTTAATGCTGCTGTTTTGTATAGAGAGTATAGAGAACTGGAGACTCTTTTTACTGGAAATGAGGCATTCCATCTTGGCCCTCAGAGTTAACATCGTAACAACAATCATACCCCGGTCGAGCCGACTCATTCGTGCTACAACCATAAAAATTTAGCTGAAGTATGGCTCTACCATGTAAGAATTCTAATAAAACGGTTTGCTTGTTCGTTCATAATGCCTATAGCAATATAGTGGAATCACTTTCCAGCATCTGCCATTCCATTCGATTATAAAGCGGGTTTCTTCAATGCAAGAGTGAAGAGTTCACCATCTTCGGCTGCATCACTTATAGCTGTCATAGTAGTCAAGCACTGACTTGAAAATAATAAAAAAGCCAAGTTCCTGTACTAAAATAATTTAATGGTGAAAAACATTTTTAAAAACAAGCTTTTAATTAAATGAACTAAAAAGAAGAAAAAATAAACTTTAAATTAAATCAAACATGTGTACATAAACAAAAATACAGTATGTAACTTGATATTGATACAAGTAGGTAATTCGTATTTAAATAATTCGGGGCAGGACTTTCTTGTTATCGATGGACACGTTTCTAAGTCTGTTCATTTCATTTAATGTTTCTTGTTGGTTTTTGATCGCCGTCTTAGATCCACCATCTTGAATGTTTTAACGCCAGTAGTTGATTCTTGTCGGTCCTTACAACTTTTGTTCGAGCACCACCAAAAAACATTGGTGTGGTGGCCATCTTGCATTCCGCCATTTACATTTTTTCACCACCGCTAGAACTTTTGCAGGTCGATATTAGTTTAAAAACGAACCTGCATAGTCTTACCGTTTAGCCAGGCAGTAGTCATTATCTCCTCGAGAAGCTATAAGTAGACGTCATTTTCTTTTTTTTTTTCAGCGAACAAAGGTTTTGCAAAAGAAAGTCTGTGAAACCGTCACACTTACAATTGCACCTTCGTGGCCTTGTGCAATGCAAGGAAAACCAGATTTCAAAAATATCGATGATATTTTTGAAATCAGGTTTTCCATTTCTGCTCGCTCTACGCTGACCAAAACTAGGTCGCATTACCTTTCTTGACCCATTTCGTTCATTCATTACAGCCTATCAATCCATAGCTGATCATAGGCCTCCCCATGATACGTAGCCATCAAATACGAAAGTTAATAATTCTAGCTTACTGAAAGATCTCTCACAACTTGCGTTGGATACTGCAATTGTGAGCGAAATTTGAATGAAAATGCGCTGATTCCGGTTTCATCCTTGTACTGCGCAATAAATTCAAGTAGGTAGCTTTTCAGATTTCTTTATTTTATATTTTGACTATAGATATAGCATCCGAATATCAAATATTTTTTCGTTCTCCGTTAACATCGTAATCATAGAAGTCTGCAAATTCTTCACATTTCTTTTAAATAGTTACAGTTGTTAGTGCTGTAACACAGCGTTTTAACATCAAAAAGAAATCCAATTTTGGTGTCAGTTTTATGCAAACAAGTAAACCTTTCACTAATTTCACACACAATACGATCCAGCGATCCCTTCATTACGCGTTCCCTTTTTTTTCAGCGGTCAGCCCAGCATCCGTCGCACACTCTCAAAGTCAAAAATCGTAGGGTAACGTGCAATTATGAAGAAATATGTCACGTTTTCGGAAATATTGAAGCTCCTTTACGCATTTTTCATCATTCCACTTTGCGTTGGACAAAACTTAAGAAATGCCTGCCTGTGGTTTTAAAATTTGTGTTAGGGTTGAAGCATTAAAGCCAATTAACAAAAATCTTGAATATATTTTATTTATTTATTAAAGCATCACCAGTTTATATTGGACTTGCACACACTTGTACATCGGCAGATCATTAATATAAGTATTAAATAGAAGTGGGCCTGGATGAGAGCCCTATTGTACGTCAGATGTAATTTTACGCAAATTCGACTTAAAGCATACATAAAAAGTACGGTCGGTTAAATAAGACCAAATCCATTTCATTAAGCCATTATATTGTAATATCCTGCTTGGCTTCATGTTCACCGATTAAATTGAGTAAATGACTATCGCAATTCGTAATTCACAAACAGATATTTTTTTCCGCTTATTCTTTGGCGAGCTCCCATTGGTCGCCAGTCATCATATTTTGGTGTTGTTATACCTAGTCAGGTCATAAGTATTGTCACACAGTAAAAACTTTTCTTTTAGAATGCTGGTCACAAAAAAGTTTATTGAATTCGAATTTCGAATTGTTCATGAAAATAAAACTGTATACTTTTTAGAATTTTACTCATTTTTAAATATGGAGTGGACGCTTAAAGAAGACCGTGTTGCAGTTATTGCGTTGCATCGTTGCAGTTACGCGCCAATTCAAATTTTTGACATACTGAAAAATTTGAATATAACCAAAAGATTCGTTTATTGTACCATCAAACGATACAATGAAGACTCTAGTGTAGATGACAGGTCAAAAAGTGGTCGCCCTCGGTCTGTTAGGACTCCAGCAGTGATAAAAGCTGTGAAGGCGCGAATTCAAAGAAATCCCAAACACAAGCAGAAACTGTTGGCCCTTCAGATGGGGTTAAGCAGAACCACGGTGAAAAGGGTGTTAAATGAAGACTTAGGGCTTCGGGCATATCGAAGAAAAACAGAACATCGTTTGAATGCTCGTCTAATGGACCTGAGACTGAAGAGATGCCGCGCTTTGTTGAAGCGGTACGCGGGAAAAAATATCGGGAAATTCTTTTCTCGGATGAAAAAATTTTTACCGTAGAAGAGAGCTACAACAAACAAAATGATAAGGTGTACGCACACAGTAGTGAAGAAGCGAGCAACCGTATTCCGCGTGTCCAACGAGGTCATGTTCCATCCTCGCTCATGGTATGGTTGGGAGTTTCTTATTGGGGCTTAACAGAGGTACATTTTTGTGAGAAAGGTGTAAAAAGGAATGCAGTTGTGTATCAAAATACAGTCCTGACGAACCTTGTGGAACCTGTTTCTCATACCATGTTCAATAACAGGTACTGGGTATTCCAATAAGATTCGGCACCAGCTCATAGAGCGAAGAGCACACAAGACTGGCTGGCGGCGCGTGAAATCGACTTCATCCTGCACGAAGACTGGCCCTCCTTCAGTCCAGATTTGAATCCGTTAGATTACAAGATATGGCAACACTTGGAGGAAAAGGCATTAAGGCAGCCGCCGATATTGACATGGACCTCGTTCGTGCTGCGATAGACGACTGGCCGCGCAGATTGAAGGCCTGTATTCAAAATCACGGAGGTCATTTTGAATAAACTTTAGTGTCATAAGAATCTATGTTTTGTTAAGTTCATTTTGGTATATAAATGGTTACATAATGAATAAACTTGTTTCAATTATTTTATATTAAACATGTGATAGAATTTATGACCTGACTAGGTATAATTGTGAAGAAAATAAAAAAATATGAGATAAATCCAATTATATAATATAAGTCGCTTTATAATAATAATAATAATAATCTTTATTTGCGTAAAACATGGTATATATGTTGTTCACAGGTAAAAATCGAGCGCTCATGTTTTGCTTATTTTACATAGCATGCAAATATATTTACACAATATCAAATTTTCTTTAACTATTTGAAGGACATTAGTCACTTGTTTTAGTTAACAAAGAGAAATAATATTATAATAATTAATTACATGTCAATTTCAATACCTAATAATAGTCGCACAGCTTAATCAAAGATATATTGTACAATACTATATTTTATTATTTTATATTTATTACAATAATTAAATGATTTTTTTTAAATAAATGTTATCCAGTACATAATCTAATTTTTTTCTAAGAATTGTTTTACACTATAGAAATTATTTTCATTCAGCCATTTGTACAATTTCTTTTTGAACAATGTAATATTTAGTGTTTTAAGTTCGTCAGGGAGTTTGTTATATATTCGGACACACATGGTAAGGCAACTTTTGCCATATTTTTTTTGTGATTTAGGTATATCCTTAAGTACTAGCTTGTGTGGGTCCCTACGTGAGCGAGTAGTCTGTACCTCACAAGCTTTTTCAAATAATTGTTTGTGTCTCTGCACAAAAACACAAACTTCTAAAATATATATCGTTGGTAGTGGCAGTATTCCAAGACCTTTAAATAGAGGCTGACACGATTCATCAGGTCGTACTCCGCAGATTGCCCTAATGCATTTTTCTGCGCAATAAAAGCCCGATTCCAATCCGAACTATTTCCCCACATCACCAGTCCATAACGGAGTATAGACTCGGCATATGCTCGGTAAGTCATAACAGATGTTTTTATGTCAGTCACTTTTTTATTTGGTTGAGCGCGTAACAACATTTGTTACGGCCTACGGCTGCTCCCTTAAAGGATCCAATCCTCTGGGGCCCATGAGCAGAAGACTTCCCGAGCAGACGTAGGTCGGGCCTTAATCGTGGCCACGTGGAATCTCTCTAATTACACTAAATATATGGGGGAGCGTTCTATACTACGGCCAGTCAACCGGCAGAGGAATTAGGCGAAGCTTACTTACCTATATCCAAGGCGACTGGTCCCTCCGGAGTCGGTCAGGTCACATGTGGTTGTGTAGTGAAAGGGAAATAAGTGATGTGATGTGTATCTGGGTGTGACTGATGGTGATTGAACCTAGACCTTGGCCGTCGGTAGCAGCCCGAGCGTCGACACCGCTCCAACTTGAGGGGGCCCTCCGAGGCATCCACAGTCACTTTCCTCTTTCTTCACGATGACAGTCAATTAACTCTATCGTACGATTTACTAACTTACAGAAGCCACTAACTATCGCTGGGTATAATGGTTACCGCACAAACGCACACGGAGTTTAAAGGGTCAAAGGTCACTACCGTTTCGCGTAGCAATAGTTAATTCTAGAATATCAGAGGCCGCACTATCTAATATTGCCGAATGCACTTATGCAGGTTTTGAGTCAGACACAATAAGTCCAGTAGGAATGCGCGTCACAAATCCTAGACCGTATATTTACGGGCCGCACCTAATTATTCCGAGTTCCCTAACAGAATGGACCGCGTGCTCACGTCAGCACCGATTAAAGACGACTGACTGCCCTTGGGCGTTTATCGCATGACCGAAAGTCAAACCGGTATGAATGCACCGCGCCGAGCGCCCTCTCGCGTCAATCCTTGAAAGTGTTTTGCGCGAACAACATTTGTTTACTTTATTACAAACTTCATCGATATGTGCTTTCCAGTTCAGATTCTGGTCTATGACAACACCTAAAAATTTTGTTTTTTCTATTTGATTGATTTTTGTAATGTTTAGCTTGAAATTGTATTGGTTATATTTTGACTTATTAAACTGAATAAAATTTGATTTTGTCAAGTTAATTTTTAAATTGTGAGCTTGTAGCCATTCAATTATATTATCAATTGTATTATTTATGTCTTAAAGTAAGTAAACCATTTTGGGACACACAATCACAAGTTGCATTTAAAATACTACTTCTAAAAACTTTTCAAATAATCGATTGTGTACAAATTCTACTTCAATAATTTCAGTAACTGTTTATTAGTATCGACTCTGTGCAAAATATTGATTTAGATTATGTATTTTTAACAAGACTTAATAATATCTACTTTGGTTCCTATATTATTTTTATTTTTTGTACTATTTAACTAGAAAATCAATGTTAATACAAGGCGCAAAACGTAAGCTGAGTCTTGCTAGCAACTCAAAGTCACCAATTTACATTTAGGAACAGCCAAAATTGGGGCCTTTTTAGGTGCTAATTAGGTGCCAAGTTTTAAAATTAGGTACTCTAAAATGTTCACTGCAACAAACTGTTGAAATTTGCGTTGTTGGCAAAACGTATACGATAAATATTAATAACAAGTAATAAAGTGCTAATTAAGTGCTGTACTTGACCGCTCCGTGGCGCAGTGGCTTAGCAATAAATTGCTCTATAGGTCCCATAGCGGTAATGCCGAAACAGACTGACTCATCGACCGGACGTGGTTGGAACGGAAAGTTGGGACGAAATGGCTACAGATTTTTTGATCGTGATCCTTGGCGATTTTAACGCTCACCACGCCGAATGGCTTGATTCACGTTTAACCGATCATGCGGGGAGATTTGTTTATGACTTTGCATTGGCATACGGTCTTACACACCTGATTACTTCGCCTACGTGGATTCCAGATCTGGAGGATCACGCCTCGTCGTGTTAGGCACTATAGGTCGGCCGATTGGGATAGGATGCGGTCTTTTTTTGCATCTTACCTGTTGTTGCTTATTATTCTGTCGCTGATGTGGTAATTCAGGGTATGGAACTTTTTATTCCATCCTCTGTGGTACCCATTGGAGGCAGATCTCAGCCATGGCTTGGTCGCTCCTGTAAAATGTATATATATATATATATCTATAAGCTGGAGTACTACCAGGCCTGGGCTGATATTCAACGTCTCGGAATGTAAACACCAGCGCTCTTAAAAAGAAGTGTGATTCAGCCTCCAGCTCCTTTAAAAGAGTCATTGTCAAGGCAAGGTCAGAGCACAATAGCAGAATTGGCGAGAAGCTAGTTCGCCTCCCTTCGGGAACCCGTGCATTCTGGTCTCTTGCCAAGGCTATCTAAGGGAACTTCTGTCAGCAATCTCTTCCATCTTTGCACTGGCCCATACCCCAACGGAGAAAGCCGATCTGTTTGACTCTCTCTTTGCGTCCAACTCGACTTTCGATAATGGGGAAACACACCGCCGATCTTTTGGTCTGGTCAAGGGGTAGGCATTGGCCGTTAGTTTGGACATAGCGAAGGCCTTCGATCGGGTTTCTTTGGAAGCTCCCTTTCTATGGGTTTCCCGAGAAATTCTGCAATTAGTTCACCAGTTTCCTTGCTGATCGGAGCATCAAGGTCATAGTAGATGGTGCATGTTCTGATTACAAGCCTATTAATAATGGTGTTCCACAAGGCTGCGTGCTATCACCAACGCTGTTTCTTCTGAATATCAATGATATTTTGCAAACTGGTAACATTAATTGCTATGCAGACGCGACAGCACTGGTGATGCTTATACACCGGCCGTGTCAATATTTCTTGGGAAAACGTCGCCGAGTACCGGAACAAACTTGTGTCTGAAGTCGAGTTTTTGCTGAACAAAGTCTCGGATTGAGGGCGACTAAATCTAGTCCAGTTCAATCCCCAGAAGATACAAGTTTGCGCGTTTTCCGCTAAAAAGAACCCCTTTGTCGTATCTCCTCAGTTTTAAGGCATTCCCCTTGCTGCCTCAGCTAGCATCGGAATCCTCGGCGTCGATATATCGGATAGTGTTCAGTTTCGTGGTCACTTAGAAGGAAAGGCCAATTTGGCCTCTAAAAAGCTTGGCGTGCTCAGCAGAGCGAGACAGTATTTCATGCCGGCACATCGCTTGCAACTTTACAAAGCGCCTATCCGGCCTCACATGGAATACTGTTCTCATCTCTGGACCGGGGCACCCCAGTGCCAGCTCCTTCCACTTGACCGCATCCAGCGCAGAGCGGTTCGAATCTTCGACGACCGAGTTCTTTCTGATCGGCTCGATACACTGGCACTGCGTAGGGATGTTGCATCCCTTTGCATTTTCTATCTAATTTACCACGGGGAGTGCTCTGAGGAATTGTTCGGATTAATTCCAGCCGCCAAATTTCACGAACGCACATCGCGTCACAATTCACAATACCATCCTCACCGTCTGAATTCTTGGCGGTCCACCACTGAGCGTTTTACTAGGAGCTTTCTTCCTCGTACAACTTCTCTGTGGAACTTCACCGGCAATTTTTGCGGACCGATACGACTTAGGCACCTTCAAGAAAAGAGCTTACTCCTTTCTAAACTGCCGACAACGTACTTGCAATTCCTCTGGTTTTGCTGCTTTTGGTTATTTACGTGTTGCGGTAGTTGTTAACATCAGGTGAACCGCATGCGCATTTGCCCCCTCTTCTATAAAAAAATATATGTGTGCTATTTTGTTGCCATCTTGTAGTGCCAACTTCCGTCTAGGGACGCCCCTTGCCAAGTCTGCCACTCCTGCAGCAGAAATAATTGAATTGTGATGCGTTATAACAAATTATCCCTTCATAAAACCTTACCATCTTGGTTCGAAGTATACTCCGTGCGAGTAGAACTCGAAACTCTTGTGAGAAGCGTCGATCCCGACCGATATCGGACCATGCTCAAAGATTGCCAGCTGTAAAAAAAATATTATTTTGAAAAAAGCGCACAGTGCTGACATATGTGCGTTGGACTTAAAATTAGTATTTGTATTTATTATAAAAGGAAAACTTATATCATTCGTAATGTACTGTTGCCACAGATGCGCATAGAAAAACATCATGTATGTGTATGTTGCCGATAAGGTCGATAAAATAAAATTACCATACCAATTTGATTTTTCCATACAAAACACTTTAACCGGTACTAGTGCAAATAAAACTTTGACATTTTTTACTCACACGAAGGGCGATCTCATTATTAGTGGTGACATTGACCCAGCCCTTGATAGATGTCACCAGTGGCACGTTGTCCACGTGACAGTAGCCGTCCTGGAAAGAAACGTATAGTCAAAGATTTTTTTAAATTTATTTATTTAATTTTATTTCACTTAACTATACAATTAATTCAAACAATGCCTTAATCCAAGAAAAGTCTACAATTACAGTATCTGAACTAGGATATTATACCTGTATCTCAGGTATATCTATTATAGAGCGAGAACCCGTGATCGCTAGATCTTCTTTATTTTATAAAATCTGAAAATTTCTCAGCGCATGCTCCCTACACAAGTAGGAACGATGGGCTACTATGAACATTGGATCATCGTGGCTTTGGCAGGTTTTTTTGGCAGCAGCTTTAGCAAAGTTGTATAAGATAGCTACTTAAATTTCTCAAGGTATAAAGCATAATTTTCTTATATTTTTTTCGCAATAATATTAGAAATCACGTCATCAGTTGTCAGACACTTAGTATCGTAGCAACCCCTTGTCAGACACTCTTAAACTTTAATAAATTGTAACGGTACATACTGCGGCGGCTCATTATTATTATTTTAAATAAATAATAATTAAAATCAATATTGAATATTGAGACATTTAAAATATCATAGAAATAATATTTTAAACAATTAAATTCAAATATATTCATTTTGAATATTGAGTATTATAGTGTTGCGCGCCACAATTAATACGAGGGTGGATTGAAAAGTACTCGGCCTAACACAGATCCATTCAATTCTAAAAATCAAATCTACCCACATTATTTAGTTCAGTTCAGACTAGTTCATTGTGTGAAGTTCGAAACGTGTGCGATAATTAGTTGTGATTTTATAAATTTATTAACAAAGTAATCGGACATAATTTCCGCGAATGGAGCAAATCGAGCAGCGTGCCGTCATTAAGTACCTCCATAAGAAGGGGCTATCATCAAAAGCCATCCATGATGACATGGTCAGTACATTAGGCGATTGTGCTCTGTCATATTCATCCGTCAAAAAATGGATAGCAGAATTTAAGCGTGGTAGAGAGAGTGTGAAAGATGAACCCCGCTCTGGAAGGCCTTCGACGTCAACTACTGACGAAAATATTAAAAAAGTACTTGATTTAATAATGGGAGACCGCAGATTAAAAATTAGAGAGATAGCCGAGATTATAGGCATCTCTTATGAACGAACTCAAAACATCATTGTCAACGAGTTGGGTTTCCACAAGGTGTCTGCGAGGTGGTTTCCGCGACTGCTTTCAGTTGAACAAAAAAGGACGCGATTGACTATTTCACACGACTGTTTGGAGTTATTTGAAGCCGATGCAGATGATTTTTTGAATCGTTTTGTTACTATGGACGAAACATGGGTTCATTACTGTACACCGGAAACAAAACAACAATCAAAACAGTGGAGAAGACCTGTTTCATCACCCCCTAAAAAGGCTAAGTCGATTTTGTCGGCAAATAAGGTGATGGCTTCAGTATTCTGGGACTCGAAAGGTGTGATTATGATTGATTATCTTGAAAGGGGTCAGAATATAAACTCTGATTACTATTGCACCTTACTACGTCGTTTACAAGAGGAAATAAAAGAAAAACGTCGAGGAATACTCAGAAGAAAAGTCCTGTTTCATCAAGATAACGCCCGTGTTCATACGTCAGTACAGTCAATGGCTGAAATTCACAACTGTGGCTTTGAACTGTTACCGCATCCGCCGTATTCACCTGATCTGGCACCATCAGACTTAACTTAAAACAGCACTTGGGAGATCAAAGATTTTCGACAAACGACGAGGTCAAAGCAGCTGTAGACGCATATTTTGACTCTAAGGAAGAATCATTTTTTTTCAACGGTCTAAATGCTTGGAAGGGGAGGTGGCAAAAGTGTATTGAACTTGATGATGATTATGTAGAAAAATAAAAATATAACTGATTTAGTATGTGTTTATTTTCTTGGTTAGGCCGAGTACTTTTCAATCCACCCTCGTACATGGTACATGGCGATACTAGTTACCACTAGCGCCCTCTAGTATCGTGTAAGTAGCAGAACTAGGAGAGTCAAGAACATTCTAGAAATTTCTACAGTAGAAAGTTTTGGAAACTACCATAAGGTTGGTATGGACCGCTATCAGAGCAGTATTGAATTGGCGATACAAGCGAATACTTTGAAGCGATACAACTGCGAACTAAAGTGATCAGTAGTACAATTGTGTTTTATTGTTAGTGTGGTTTTGAGTTGTAATTAGTGTTCTGTAATTAAAGTGTCAATTTTGGTAATTCACTCGGCAGTTTTTAATTGTCTCGGACCCGAAGCTCGTAACAATTGGTATTAGAAGTGGGATCAAATCATGCCGATTGTACGTAAGGACGACACGGAGGGTATCCGTACCCGAAGTCAACGCCAGCAGGAGACGGACTAGAGACGATTTGGTAATGCAAAGTATCAGACGTCGGAGGGCCAGCTGCAGACCACGGAGGCCAGCCCGTCAGCAGCTCCTGCATCTGCAGCACCTGACCTAGGTGCTCTGATGACGATGCTGCAGGAGCCGGCCCGCCGACAGGAGGAACAGGCCCGTCGGTTATAAGAGCAGCTGCAGCGCGGTCAGGTAGAGCAGATGCTCCTCTTATCACCAGAAGCAACGACAACGACAACGAGATGAGAGGCCGCCAAAGTATAGTAGTAAGTAGCATACCACACTAAGGCTTTACCTCTATCCCAAGGGACCAATGTCATACCGTCGTGTCTTTTGCCTTCGTCTCTAAATATTCCACAACGCTCTAAAGCCGAGGGAACATTTATAGAGACAAGAGCCCTTCGGATGACATCGTTCAAAGAACCGTGCCGTGAAGACCTACCAGCACTTTTCTTACATGAAAGTCCGTGGAGCCCAAACTTGTCGATGCTGCTACCCCAGGGGAACTGATGGGGTTGACAAATCGCCGCTCCTAGTCGAATTCCTACGGTGACGCGCAAGCTTTCCCAATCGAGTAATGTGTTGAGATTACTTGATGATAAACCGTGTAACCAGTTACTAGATTCCTTAGTCGAAACAGCTAGAAGACGTACTTGATCTTGTTCACTATGGAAATTAGGAAACCAATCTTTCAGCACGCTCTGTACCAGCGGAATATCCCACTGTTTTTTTTGGTTAACTTCCAGTGAAACATTTTCGCCAGGACAGAGCCTTCGCCATGTCGGCCCTGCCTCCGTAGCAAAGCACAGTTCTACTTTATTATTTAAAATTATGTTAGATAAGTCACTGACACTATGCACGGAAGCAAGGAAAGCAAGCAATGCAACGATAGAAAGATTTCTCACACCAATACCACCAAATTTTATAGGTAAAGTAGCTTGAGTTCAGGCTGTTGTATTTAAAGTTAAATTAAAAAAAATCTATAGCTATTTAAAGATTATTATCAATATCTTTTAAAATATCCGAACACTGCTAGACTGGACTCGAGTGGAGTAAATATGTAAATCTAGGTACAAGGAGACAATATTTTAAAATAGTCAGAGCAATGTGGGGTTTAAGTTATATAATTTATGGACTGGTATAAAAACTGATCAAATTTTGTATTTTAAATCGGGTTTAATACTATCGAAAAACAACGGGGCATCTAGCAGGTATAGCGATTTCGTGCTGACAGTTGTTATTCCTAGAAAAATATGATTGAAATTTTGAATTAAAGTGTCTGTGTTAGAGCTAGATAAATTATTAGAAAAAAATATTTCACATTTATTGCTATTTGGTTGAAGACCGATATTTTAAGGAGTAAGATCACTGAAGACGTCATCTGCTCTACCTCCCAGTGTATGTTGTCTAGGTATCAGACATTCAACTTGGATTTCAAATTTGTCAAATTTTTGAAAGTGCTAGAACCTAGTGGGTCACCCTGCAGAACACTGACAACAGAATCGATAATATGGTTTTGGATCGATTAATATGGTAACATTGCCAAATGTAATGATAAATTTCAGGGGTATTGTTAGCCACTTCTTTCAGCAGGGTTACCCTATTAAAAGAGTTAAAAGCATTCCCTAGGTTAACCTTCACAAGAAAATTTGCATCAGAGTTTGTTAAAAATATACGCACTGAATGTACCTCCGCCTCACAGTTACCTCTAGTGCCAAAGACTAGTTAAGTAGGTTGAAATTTTGTCTTAAGGCTAGAGATTATGTGCCTGCAAGCTAATTTTGAAGTTAGAATTTTGGAGCGCTCAGAATTTGGGTAAAGTTATGCAGGGATCAACTAATCTGGAAGGCGATCGATGATTTCATACAGAAACTCGTTCCATCAAATTAACGTAGACCCGTTTGTAAGAATACACTATGTGTGTGTGCGAATTGGTTTATGAATAGTAAGTAGTGAGTGCTGACTTACGCTAGCTGTGCATGTATCAATGTGTTAGCGTGACGGACATCTCATTCCCACTTGTCACTTTATTGATTGTGCACTTTTATTCAGAGAATCACACACACACACACAGATTATTTGCTCGTTGCAGAAAACTCCTGTCGGCTTATGTTCTCCTTTTTTGTTATCAATTAAATCGATTTAAATTACATTAAAATACGGAATACAAAACATAGCGTGGAATTAACTAAATAGTCGTCCAAACTGGGCACGATTCGGGGGGAGAAGGGAGTAGCCTTACGCAGGTGTTCCCTTCTGTCAAAGTATAAGTCCATAGGACATACGTACAAATACAATAAAATCTAGTTGCAGCCGCACTGCTCCCTAGACTAAATATAGTTGCGCGGCTGAATCAACGTCCCACAAAAATGCAGAATTATTTTTTTTTGCCGCAATATGCGGTCTCTCACGTCAAATTTACAAAAAGATGGCGTCCGACCTTTCATATATAAGTAATTTTCAATTACTATTGGTATTATTGGTATTTACTTCTCTTTAAACTTAAAAAATACAATAGTATCGAGTAAAAGCTATGGACGATTATTACTAAAACTAATCAGTTTAGATTGTTCAGTTTACTCGATAAAATTCGATAACAATCCATGTTAGTAGATAGCCGCCGTTAGTCGATAACAATCGACTAACGGCGTGCGGCGGGCGGCAATGACTGATACGGTTACCGTCTCAACTTTAACTACTAATTTGTAGCGCTGCGCACCTAATATACGTACTACTAAATAGCTATGTCTACACCAGTGCGCTTTAAATTTCGCTTTCATGTTCATTTTGCGTTTCAACTTTCAGTTCGTCTTGTGTCAAGCGCTGTGCCATAAGACGCATGCAGCTTATCGTCTATACCCGTGCGCTTGTCGCATGCAACCCATCTATACCTCACGCGCCTCTGTTAGGTTTGGTTAGAGATGGCCGCGGCACTAGTAGCTATCAATGCGGCATATTTTGTGTCAATTGCAGGGAAAAAATCAAGAAAAGGAGAATCTGGATGAAAGATTATTTGAAGAAACGAACAACACAATATTGAAAGATAGAGAGCTAAACAATGACATTATTTTTTAAAATTGCACACGAATGACTAAAGTCACTTTCTACAAGCCTTTGAAAATAATGGAGCCAAAAATTATGAAACATAACACTCATTATCTAATACATTGACTTTGTCTTCCGCCATTTTGTTTACTAAAATGCACGAAATGTTGCATGCTAATCCACCGGTGACGGATCAGCGTTCGTTAGAAGCTTGCGCTGTTGTCGAACTAGATTTAGCACATGCGAAATTGCATGCGCTATGGTTGCTCAGGCATGCGGTAGAGGAAGACGCAACATGAACAGGAAAGCGTACTGGTGTAGACATAGCTATTACGTAGTTACAAGAGATAGTGTGACGGGTGTGCGCTGCGCTAAGTCTGTGCACCACTACTTACGTTACGAATGCAGTTATTAGGTATGCGATTGGCGCCAGTAGATTATTCAATTGTCTGTCCTGTATTGTAATGAAACTATCGATTGAGGGAACATCCGTTCGTTCGTCGTAGTGTATTAATGAACTTTGAAATGAATAAATGGGTAGGTAACTAAGGAGTTTCTATCTTAGTAAAAGACTAAGACTAAACCACTAGAATAAGAATTAAGTAAAAAGTGAAAAGTGAAAATCATTGAATTATGTTTTTCACAATATATCTTAATTAGTCATAGGTATAAAAAAGAGATCAATTAGTAACTGGGTCATCATCATTACAGCCTTTTATAAGTCCACTGCTGAACATAGGCCTCCCCCAAGGAATGCCACAAAGCACGGTCCTGAGCCACCTGCATCTATCGACTTCCTCCATGTCTTACCAGGTCATCACTCGTGGGGGGTCGCCCTATACTTAGCCTACCGGTACGAGGCTGCCACTCGAGAACCTTTCTTCCCCGAGAGGAAGTAACTGGGTAATTAAGTATAATGTATCTAATTTTAATCTACCTTACCGATGTATTAGGAACTTAATTAGGAAGGTATTATCCAATACAAGATTGGTGATGATGATGATGACAACTGTATTAAGTAAAACAAGATTTAAATGCTCTTCTCAAATCAACTAGCTAATAAACAAAACAAAAACTAATTCTTATGAACCAGGAAAAAAAATTAAACAAAAAGCAATTGTTTTCTTACATTTATCTATCACTCAGTTTTATCTTTCTATGCCTAGGTAATTAAATACATTTTTCGTTAAAATAAATCAATATTTATTATAGATACACACCGCACGCACATGCACACGTCGTTGCACAGACGCGCACTTGCATGCATTACACAAGAGCGGAATGAACTGCGCGTACAGTTAGTAGTTTGTCGATTGTTATTAGAATAATCGTGGTGAGGAACTACTAAATCGACAATCGAATGCGCAATAACACAATTTTCGATTTAGTCGATTGTTTTTTTCAACAATCGCCAATCGCTGGTTAAAACGCCATAGTTACCTACCTTCCAGTTGTCCGCTGGCCGGCTTGCTCTATGAGAAGTCTAGAGAACCGGAGACCCTTTTTACTGGAAACGAGGCATTCCATCTTAGTGCTCAGGGACGATAACGCAACTGTATTTTGATTCCTCATCAAAGATAGATGAAGATGTCTATGGGCCTCAGCATCCTCTAACCGTCAGGTGGGCTTGACCAAAGTTCGTATGTCATTTCAATTTTATAAAACTAACCTCATTCAAGTAACCGCCATAATCCTCTTCAGTGGGTAGACCGTGCTTCATGATCCACTGGTAAGCGTAAAATGGCATGCCACCGGCGCAGCCATTGTTGCCGAAGCTGATAGTAGAAATTTAAAATAAAATTATTTCCTGTATGTAGGCAATACACGTTAAATTAATATACTTTTACTAATTTTACAATGTTTAATATTAACTTATATAAGGGACTAGTGATCCGCCCCGACTTCGCATGGGTGATTTCTGGATCTCGATAACAACGCCACCTACCAGGTCCAATTATGAATCTAAACCGTCTAGGGACCCATTCAAACACTATGGAGTGTAGAGTAGAAGGAGAACCATCTTATAAGGTGCGAAAGTTGAAAAAGTGCCCTACTATATACTGAAAATAGAGGGTCCAAAATCTACCACAATAGCGCTGGCGTCTGAAAAACTACGATATGAATATAGCTGTTGTAGACGGAGTGAAGTCAGCTGAATTCAAATATTTAAAAAATTTCATGACTAGAGTAGTTAGTAAAATGCCAGTATACAAAACCTCAACTATTTACGTAGTACACAACCAAGCGGATTGGTCGGTCCTTCATCTTATTCTAATTACTTTGGCGCTTTTTTTAAAATTTATCTAATGCTACTGCAGCGCCACCCTTATTGGACACGTTTTTAGTGACACTTTTCATATACAGAGATGGTCCTCCTTCTACTCTACACTCCATAAAACACACATAAAAATCATCAATTCGTTCGACTCGCTTTTGAGTTTTAGCACTCACGGACAGCAATTGATGTTTATATATATATATAATTATTAAAGACATTGTGCCGTGTAGTGGCTACGTAAGATATCCACTACCTCATATCATCGTGTGAGTGTTGAAAGAGTCGACAGAGGGAAACTAGAAAAAGAAAATTGCAGCAACAGTATCTTCGTGACAACAACTCAGTAATATAATAAAAAAAAAAACGGCGGTTGCCAACTGTCCTTACCAAGATGGCAACTATTGCAAATATTAGACATGGTAACTCAGCGCAATTCCTTGCGTTAACTCAGAGTAACTCAGGCGCAGTTTACAGCGTCGGCTCATTGCGTTTTACACAGAGCTGTTAACTTAGCCATCTGTTAAAATAAAGTTTGTGACAAGTAAGTAAAATAAAATGTAGAAAAGGAAGATTACCTATCACTATCACTCCTTTTCATTTCACGGAGTTGCAGCTTATATAATTTAAAATTTAAAAATTAGTAAAAGCCCATTCAATATATATTATTAAGAACAACTCAAAAACCATTAGTCAGACCTTGAACAAATGTATATGGCCACGGAATATATAATAAATCGAAATCGGTTTACACAGAAAAAAGTTATGAGTTATATATTTAGGCCAAACACACATAAAAAAAGAAAATAATACAGTCCAATTGAGTACCTCCTCCTTTTTGAAGTCTTATATAATCTTAATATATAAAAGTATATTTTTGTTTGTTCGTATTTTATGCGCTGCCATACCGTTCATAAGATTGTGGTAAAACTTTGTGAACTTATTGCTTGCACTTCCGCGAAGGTTATAGGTATACCTAGTACCATTACCATTAACTTACAGTAGGTGGTCGCGTGTAGTGTCGACAAATTTATTTGAAAGTTATACACCACTCAACTTCAATGAAATGAAATGAAACGCGAAGGGTACCAGCTAGTATAAAATAAAATTCGTACAAAATACCACAAGTGTTCAATAACACTCCTTCTCACTCCAAAAGTGTTAGGTAGTTCAACACCTTAACACTTTTCGAATTTCCCGCTTCTTTGCCGTGCGCCAACACATTTTGAAGAAAAGAGTTCACGTACCAATTTACGTTACAAATCTCTCGAATGACATTTAAAAATGATATATAAAATTGTCGAATGGTTATTCATGTCTTATAACAGAGTTTAAAGACCTAACAGTTGGGAAACGAATGTACTTGTGGAGAACAACGGCGGCGGTACTGCGGGGCAGGGCGGGCGGACCTTGTGCTAGCACACGTCACTAAGTCCGATAGAAAGTACATGCGGTGCATTAAACTAATTTTAAATGCCGTTTTCGAAATGACGGCCATGCTTATGTTTCCCAAATTTTTTTTAAAATAGTTTATCCGAATACGAATACACTACATAAATTTAACAATCGAAAACTAAAAACATCTATAAAAAGAAAGTGCCTCGAAAATATTTGGCAGTGCAACATTTGTAAATGTCTTTTTTCTTGTAGTAATAAAAATGATCCTGTTCGATAAATGTTTTAACTTATAAGTATAGTGTGAATAAATGATAATGAGATAAATAATTATAATATACAAAATTATTTTATTTCTATTTTTTTCGTGACAACCCTAGCATACACGTTGGCTGCGTAAATACCTGTGCGGCATCGCCCGACATCAAAGGCGTTTCACATCTGTAAGGTCTAAACTGTGCTTATAGTCTATAAAAAATAAATTTATGATGCAGAAGTACGAAAACAAAACGATATCATGATGACCATGTCATGCAATAGCCGTGCGTTTTGCTGTTGATATCGTCAAACGGTGATTATTCATTAATCTATCTAGACCATATTGTGATGTGAGCAGTGGGTATTTTCCATTTTACGAAATACAACCATTACATGCAATGACCGGCCATTTCATGAAGTGATCAATTCTATGATCTGGCAACGACCGCGAAACCTTTATTTAAAACACAACTTTTCAATGATGATGACATTGTGTGATCATCTGCGTAACAAATAAGTTCTCCTTAGCCCCGATTAGCGACATCTGGTGAGCGTAAGATTATTAACCTTTATTCGTTTCGCCTACAGATCATAAAGGAACAGAAAAACATATATACTTATTATACATACCCAAAAAACATTGGTCCTTCAGTGAAGATGGGAAAAAAATTGATTATCATTATAGTTTAAAAACAGTAAAATGTACTAACCCCCAAGAACAATCGATGAGCGCCTGTTCACTGAAACGAACAAGGTGGCCGCCGTTGCTTAAGAAAAACGCGCCCTCTACAGCACCGATGGCTCCGAACGACCAGCACGAACCGCACGCTATCTGGTCTGCAAGTTTGTATTTGTATATTAAACGAAGTGGGAGCTTTTCTGCAGGGCTCCGTATCGTTCAGACGTAGACTTCTTCTTGATCATAGGTGTTATGTGAAGTTAAATAAAACTATTCATTGTATGAAAAACAAGAGCTGCTTTGTGGAGTGTAGCTTGTAGGGTAGCGTGGAGATGATTGTTGAGCGAGCTACAGAGCGAGTGATGAGCGAGTAATGAGCTAGTAATATCAGAGGTCGATCACAGCATGTCTTTTATTTTGTACGTTTAGTTTCACAACTCGTGTGGGCGCATGGGAGGCACACATGCTCTATTCGACAAATGAGCGGATAGGAGGGGAGGAGTGCGGTGTGTGTGTTGAGTGTGATTTATAATTTATTTTATAATCATACATTTGTCACACAATTTATACAGCAATACACACACACACTATATATATATATATATATATATATATATATATATATATATATAGCTGTTTAGGCCAAACAATTAACATTTGAAATTTGCATTCACACTCGTATCCGCCCGCTGACTTGTAAAGGTCACCGTGGCCCCACTCCCGTGCGTTGTTGGGCAGAGGGCGCGAGCGCAGAACGTGAGTGCAACAGAGTTGCTTGAATGTAGTGCTGTCGATAGCACGTCGTGAGTACGCCCGGGATAACCTCCATTTTTTAGGGTCGGTTTTGTTAGCAAATTGATGCAACGACGAGGTTTTTGTTGAGTCTAGACAAATAGACGCCGGTTTGATTAATTATTTAGAATTAATATTGATTGCGACCAACGTCCGGTTTTTTGATGCGTGTGGAATTTACTATTGGAGTTTCGCGAGAGATCGCGTTAGTTCCCTATTTGTAATTTGGTGATAAATGAATCCGGAATATTGAAGTTGAACTTCGAACTACTGTTTGTTACTCGAGTCGGTTATCACGTGTTTGATTCTCCGATGAACGTTGAATTAGTTGCGTTTTGAAGTTAGTTAAGTGTACGGTAAAGTTGATAGACTGAAATAGGGGCATGAAGAAAGAAATTGACCGTGGGTGACGCCGCTGGAGAATACCACACCTTGGGGCGGCGCCGGAGTAAGGGTTGCTGCCGGCTTCAACGGTCCAGTCAGGTCAACCATAACCCACACCACTAAGCACCACTATACATGCACCTACACACCTTCTGCCTGACCGAACCTTGGGACAGTCTTCGCCTCAGACCCAGGTACGTACTATTTATTTGACTAGCCTTCTCCCTATAGTGTAGTAGGATAGGACAAGTTTCCATATGGCCATTTTGGCCCGAACCCTCGGCTGCCCGTTGAATCTTCCACTCATGGGCCCCGGGATATTTGAGCCTTGTAGGGGCAGCTGTGGGCCGTAACAATAGGCATACAAACAATAATTAATAAGTATATGACTAACACTATAAAGTCATACAACAATTCTTCAAATGAAAGTCAATAAAACATTAATAAGCTTACGTACTAGATACTTGTAAATTTACGTGACTAAAACTTAAACAACTACATAGATTGTATTAAAAGGCATTCACATTAATAACGCCTTAAATCTAGGCTGTTATTTACATCTATATTTACCATGACATTTATTAAACCATCGACTGCCGCGTTGGTCAAGTCGTTAACACGATCCTTAATCATTAGGTCCATGGTTGGACCAAAATCGATTATTGGGTTTTTTGGCTAAGAAATACTCAGTAGTAGCCCGGAGCCAGAAAATTGGCGGTGTTTCACCCCCGTGCCTCGGAAATCACGTAAATCCTTTGGTAGTAAATTCTTAAAATTACATAGCAATTACATTGGAGGCAGTGGATTTGAATCCGGCAATGTGGAGCTACAGCAGCTCTTGTGAGTCAGTGTTTCACAGCGGGAATGTAAAACAACGTAAAGAAACCTGTACGAGTGAGAAAAAAAAATTGAAGACATACACTTTAGCAGCGCGACGGACTAATTCATCTATAACCCTCTCATAATTAGTGGATGCCTGTGCCCAACTGTGGGACGTATAATAGGCCGTAACTCTACCTTTGTACCGCCGTCATTATAAGTTTTAAAGCTCCAGTCTGCCGCAGGAAGCACCTACCAGTCCAAAAATGATCGCTTACTAAAGCGTTAAGATCTGTCTTCATCTTTCTTACGAAATACCTGTAAGAAGTAGGTACAGTAGAATAAGCAGCTATTTCACTGTTAATTATCTTGTGCAGTTAATTATCTTGTGTTGTTTGTGTAATGGCAGTGTAATCCACTTCCCCATATCGTCCCGTGCGTGAAGTAAGAGGCGACAAAGGGAAATAAACCAGGAGATGGGCAACTTTTTTATATATTTAACTTCTCCTCGGATCGCCGTAAGGCGCAAACGTTGAACAGACGACGTATTTTTGATAATTCAAAAAGAAATTTTAAAACTGCGCTTATAAAATATTTCCAAGAAAATAGGAGTGCATAATCTTAAAGTGAACTTGTACATGGCCTTAAATAGCAATATCTTCGTGCAAGTGAAATCCTGGTACATTACAAATTAACAAATCAGCCAGTACAGGTACTGTGATTTTTTTTTAAATTTGCCAAAGCTATAGCACCATATAGCACCATATGTGATCACATACAAACCCTTCGGCAAATTGTACAGAAGACCGAAGAATACAATCTGCCACTTTGTCTTGCGTATGTGTACTATGAGAAAGCCGTTGATTCCGTCGAAATTTGGGCGATACTGCAGTTCCTTCAGCGGTGTCAGGTGGACTGTTGCTATATCGAAGTGCGGAGGTGCTTGTACAGTAGGGTTACGATGGCTATCTGAGTAAAGAACCAGAGTACGAAACCTATCCAACTGCAGAGAGGTGTAAGACAGGGTGACGTAATATCCCTGAAATTCTTCACCGCTGCATTGGAAGACGTTTTCAAGTTACAGGGATGGAAAGGATACGGTATTAACGTCAATGGCGTATACATCACTCACCTTCGATTTGCCGACGATATAGTCCTTATATCAAAATCGCTGGAGGACCTAAGCACTATACTCGATGAACTCAATTGTTTCTGCCAACGGATAGGTCTTAAGATGAACATGGACAAAACAAAAATCATGTTTAACGTTCATGTCACACCTATGCCGATAGTTGTTGGAAGCACTAAGCTCGAAGTTGTTGATGAATATGTTTACCTGGGACAAATAGACCGGTAAGTCCAACTTCGACCGAGAGGTCAATCGACGGATTCAACTCGGCTGGGCAGCGTGCGGGAAACTACGACACATCTTCTCGTCAGACATAACTCAAAACCTCAAAACGGGACTGTACAACCAATACGTGTTGCCAGTGATGACCTATCGATCTTAGACGAGGTTCTTCACTGCTGGCCGTATGAGGAAGCTCAAACTTACTCAGCGAGCTATGGAGAGGGCTATGCTCGGGGTTTCTCTACGGAATAAACTTAGAAATGAGGATATCCACAGTAGAAACAGGGTAATCGACATAGACACAAAGGATTAGTAAGCTGAAGAGGCAATAGACCGGCCATATGGTTCGAAGAACTTGACAACCAATGGGGACGAAAGGTTCTCGACTGGCAGCCTCGTACCGCAGGCGAAGTTTAGGACATCCCCCCACTAGACGGAGTAAAGACCTGGTAAGACATGCAGGAAGTCAATGGATGCAGGTGGCTCGGGACCGTGCTTTGTGGCATTCCTTGGGGGAGGCCTATGTTAAGCAGTGGACTTGTGAAGGGCTGTAATGATAATGATGATGAAATTTGCGAAATAACAAGCACTGGAGACGCCTCCATAAGGGATACGCCCCAAGCTTGTATTATATGATTATAATACAAGTGGTTTTAACATATTATCAAATTACTACTGCCAATTGATATTATCCTGGTATTATAATATATTAAATTATATATATTAATAATAAAATATATCGACGCTTGGAAGGCAATAATTACCAAGCGACATGTTGGCAACTTTACACTAGAGCATTTTAAAGTTTTATTTGTTGGAAAAAAAATTGTAAAAAATCGCCTATTAGTCATAACTACTCGATTCTAACGAATTTTAGATGCATATTAAAGGCTTAATAAACTGGCATCTAAAGATTTCAAATTGAAAGAAATAGCCACTCAAAATCTGCTTCACAGTGTGTATAAGCTACAAAACAAAATACGTATAACAGGGATAAGCTCATTTTTATACAAACTTTATATCAGAAACAGTTATTTAAGTTAAAAAAAAAAACAGTAAAAGGAAAACGGCAGGTAAAATATTAGAAAAAGACAAAATATATCCTTTTTAGGCAGGAAAAATACTACTATATCACTTCTTTAAGTCTATTGCATTTAGACCTCCCGCAGACATACAATTGTAAGTTGGCCAACTATCGAACGACTAAATTGCGTACTTTTGTAATTTAATTGACCAACTTCCTTTTATTGGTTACCAGCCGCAGACTTAATCAATTTGGTCCGTGACAGTGTTGCTAGCGCGGTGCGTGTGCGTGATAATGCGGAAAAAACGCTCTAATTGCATTCATAATAAAAAGAAGACGAATACAAAAGAGAACATTTTGGGTGCATCCTATATTAAGTGATAGATTAGAATATGAGAAACATCATACCTTGCACTCTAAACTCAGATGTTACCCAGATAATTTTTTTTATTCTACAGAATGAGTATTTCGTCTTTTGATGTGCTCGTATATCATTTCATCTCTCTAAGAGAGACCGCAGATTTACAATTATAAGTTGGCCGACTAAATCGCAGAGCATACTAATAGGTATAGTGACATATGCTAGCCCACACATCTGGTCCAACTAAATCGTCCAACTAATTGATTGGACACCGATCGTATCAGAATCAAGATTCCCTTCCGATTACGCACAATTAAAAAGTTGTCCAACTATCGGCCAACTGCTCGTTAGCACGGTTACCCTATGCAAGCTCGCGGATTATCCAACTTTGTCGGTTGGTCGCACGGCAACATGCAAGACGAACCGA